CGTGTCTACGTCTTCACCTTCCATGCCATTGCATTTTAACGATGAGCCACATGGGCTCGCATAGCAGGCCATCCTTACCATTAAATTCTACGTAATCGGCTCCCTGGACATACGCACCTCCCGCCAGCGGAAGTGTGTTCTTCATTTATGTACCAAGATTTTCGATGTCCCGGCTATCTTGCAGAGCTACGCCCCACGGTTAGCGGGCGTACCGCGTTGAAGTATCGACACCAGTGACGTCATCGCCTTGCACATAGCGTGTGAAAACCCGATTTATGGCAAAGTCCATGCCCGGCATCCCCCCCCCCCCCCCTCTTCATCGTTTCCCCAAGTTCTTTCATTTTCTCAACTACTTGATCATAACGCCCTTCAGCAAGGACATCACTTTATATACTTTGGGGGGGGGGGGGGGAGGGCGGCGAGGCTCCCACAGCTGACTTGAGCCCCCCTCCCCCCAAATATATACAGAATAATTATATTGCCTATTGGTGTACTGGGTAGAAGGAACCTGACACATCGCGATTACCATTATTTTAATTTTGTACTTAACAGTATCCTGAATGCAGCTAACGTTCGCTTCAGGCGCCCTTTATTTGTCCTTGACAGGTATGGTCTGCGGCCGGTGGCAGCGGCCGCGCCAAAGGTCAGGTGACGTCAGAGGGCAGGACGGACCGTACCGGGCATTGCGGAACGTTAAGCTTTAGCCACCAAATCTTGCCGTTGAACTGGAATTGCGTGATGGGATGTTAGAGGTCAGGACTCGCAGAACATGCACTGCTTAGTGCCAGCTCTGATTCCAGAAAAACGTTCACTCAAAAGGTTTAGGTAAAATCTTTAGAAATGTCTTTAGCATGCTTATTCCTTCATATGTTAAGCCAATCTGCAAATGTTTGGCTAACTTTTCTCAAATGATAGACCTGGATTGGAGTAAAGAACAGTGCACTGCAATATCTGGCAGACCTTCACAGTTCAAGGTGGCCCAGATAAAAGTTAACGCTTGTTTCATTCAACAGTGGCAAATGTATTGGTCGTATGATCGTGGCTGTGGTAGTTATACGGCATGATCAACGACAGCAATAGTCATCAGTGGTCACTGTTCTAAGCTTTTCACTGAAAGATAGCTCACGATAACTTGAAATGACAACACATTTCTCCGCAGGAAAACAATTTTGAATTTACAAAGCATTAAAATTTGCCGTTTTCCATTTTAACGTCAAGGATGAAAATTAAAGTGGCTGAAATCCGGGGAGAAATCAGATTTTAGAGGTAGGTAAGATCAAACTTTTCGGCTTGGCTCCTCCAACAGATTTTAGAAAGTGACGCCCCTGCACCCTTGTCTCCAGGTATGATGGTGTGTGTAGTCACTGTCTTTGCCCACTAGCTTGCCTTCTTTTCGTCAGTCTCCAACTACATCTCCTCGCAACTCGATATTTGTATTCTCTCTTACGGCCATGATGGTTCTCGGCTCACTCTTCTGAACTAAAGACATCTCTTCTGCACTTACATCTCTTCTTCATCTGTATCATTACAACTTAACAAAACCATATCTTTGAAAGGCCTTGCTTGCGTTTGCTCTGACGGAATTCAGTGTGACTTATTTTGTCATTTCACTCTCCGCAACCAGCAAATGTCTCTTCTGCTTTAGCACAGCTTAGATTGTGGGACATTACCCTGAAGAGTGGGTCTTCTCGCTTACCATCCCCATCCTCAAACCGAGGATACCCGACAGCCTCTTTGGAAGCCATTAGTTTATCACGCTGACGAGCTGTGGCTCCAATCCTTTCGAAAGCATGTCAGGCATTGCCCGTCTGCACGGCTTTCTTGAAAACCACGACATCTTCGGTCCATTTAAAGGCAGTTTTTAGAAAGGCCACCGATCACTGGCGACGTTCTTTCCATCCCATTTCATTTAACTCTCTGCTAAAGCTTACACATTGCCCGCCAGTTTAGATTTGACTGGCGCCTTTGATCGGGTAAATCAGGAGACACTTACCTTCGTATCCATAGCAATGGGCTGCGAGGTAATCTTGCAGTTTCTTTTAAAATAAATGATTCAGCCCTGTTCCTCTCAAGTCAGGTGTAGTCAGCAACTCTCCATCCTTAAGTAACACTGCATGGTCTCCCCAGGGTATTGCCATAGTCCTCACACTTTTCCTCTATATGATTCATCAGATACCTCTAGGTTCGATCCTTTTCTCCCATCCCACATCGTCCAGCTACACGTTACACCCTATATTCGCCGTCGACGTAACCCATGGCACTCGCATCCCTCCATAGACCGAGCCGCCAGGGTATCCAGGAGGCCCTTGACGATGTCGCTGCCTGGGGCAACCACACAGGCTTTTCAGCCTCCAGTCCCAAACCCGCACGTGTTGCATTCATATCAGATAATCGCACTAAGCCTCCCCGTCGCACACCATTCACATTCATTAAGAACGAAATTGGAGTTTTCATACTTTTCTCAATATCACCCTCGATTATCGTTTTAGGTTCCATATCCACGCCTATCGATCAATGCAATGGCCACAAAAAATGAACATAATTTTTACCGTGCCTCACACATCGTGGGAACGCGACCGGCACACCTTACGTCACATACGCACAAAGTTGGTTCGAACAGGTCTCGAGTAAGAGCCTTTATTCTTACTTGTCTGGCTCATGATCAGCGAAAGCTCTGCGCAGTTCAAAACACCGGTTCTCAACCTATCACCGGTGCTTGGTGCATCTGTCCGGTGTTCGCTCTTCACACTTAAGTTTATCATCAAACCCTGACTTTCCGCTCTCACCTTGCTCTTTTCAAGCATTATTTTCGAACGCTGTCCGTCCCCAAGCTTCTCTTCGGGTGGCTGCCTTACTAGCTGACTGACCGAACTTAGCCCAGGCACCCACCACTCCGCGCCTCCAGATTGAGTCCAAGCCTATCGATTATGTAAGTCAGTAAGAGCATTTGCGAGGAGCATTATGCTCACAGATAAGACGGTAGAAATAGCCTTATTCCTCGTGGACAAAGCAGGATCATGAAGATATAGATGCATTATGCGCATCTGTATCTCCATTCTACTGTTGTTTTTTTTTACGAGAACTAAGGCTATTGCTACTGCCCTATCTATCGATCATGCCCTGTTTACGAACATTGAGTTGTGCTCTTTCTCATGGCGGTCCGTCCTCCTTCATTACTTCACTTTCTCTGCTAAACTTTTCGCTGCTTTGCAAGTACTAGTACTGGTACCGCTGGTCTAACTAGCGGTGCTGCACTCCTAAGCAGTACTCTTTTCATCAGAACCCAGAAAATCTGGTCTTAGACATCTATTTGGACCCCAAGTAACATTTTTTCATCCAAAACCTCTCCCCGGTGTACAGTAATGTTGTCTTTCGTAACCGCATGCCTTTGTTTCGTTCAGTCTACACTCCTATAAGCTTTTTTTCTATGCATCCCATCCACTTGGGCAAAGAAGGAAGCCTCAGGGCAAATTGCCTGGCAAAGATAGGCTGTCTTCTTCTTCAGATTGCGCCTCAGCTCTGTCTTCTGACGAGAAAAGTTATGTGGCAAGGTGATCGAGTCTATTTCTTCTTTTCCCCTATTCCATTTATTTTTCGTGCTGGCCCGCTTCCGAGAATGTACATCCGTCTAGCCTATCACCATCTTTTGAAGCATGACCAAGCTCCACTTTGCTCTTCGTGTTGACTTTCTCTGCCCATTGGACGTACCCTCATCACCTGTCCTTCTCGAGGCCAGCGTGTTATCCGTTTACGTTACGCGGCAGCGCACAATCTCACACTTTTTCGCCCATCCTGCTCAGTGACGGCCATCCTATTTCACTCAACAGACTCTGCTTTATTCATCTAAACGAATCTCTTCTACTCCATGTAGAAGTCCCTGCCTTCCTACATCTATTCCTTGCATAATTTATCGTTCATCAAGTCACCATCATACCATCATGTTTTCTGACTGTACATAAACATCATCCCACAGCTGATTGATTGTCCAACTGGCAGATGGCAGAAGGTGCACGCGGGCCTCCCCCAAACACACACGCACGCGCGCACGCACGCACGCATGCACGCACGCACGCACGCACGCACGCACGCACGCACGCACGCACGCACGCACGCACGCACCTACATGCACACACGCGCGCGCGCGCTCTGTTTTGACAAGTTATATGGATGACTTGTCAATTTATGAACGAAGGTGTTTGAGTTCTAGGTCTGACACTGTTTCCTGGACTTTTTGGGGGCGAAGCGCAATGCCTATTTCCGGCTAGGCCTTGTTAGCTAGTCCAAGTCCCGCGCAGTGCACTGATCCAAGTGTGACCCCATTGTAGGAGTACTTATGACAAATTCCGTTGTCAAATTGTGCATGGGCTTCTTTTTAGGCAATGTTTCCCCACTTTTGGCGAGTCGGAAGGCCAAGGGGACCGTGCAGTGCCCGCACAACAATGCACGTAGCGGCAGAAATCGGCCAAGCAAGCGACATCAATGTATTTGTCGCAGCCAGGTCAATATAAAACACAATACAAGAGCACTTTATCTTAAGGCTACACTTGGCCCTCACGACTCAGACCATCCCAATGGGTTCACAGTCTTAGTTTGGAAGCCAAGTAAAGCGTTCCCTATGTGCCCTAAAAAATAATCTCCCGATATTTATTACAAAGTCATTTTACTTCACATGCACTCACATTAAGTCACTGGTCGTCGCTCACAACCGCTGTGAACAGTCGTTGCTGGACGTGATGCGAAACGATTGGTCACAGGGCGTAGCAGGTTCAGCAGCCCTTACACGATGCTCCACAAAATGCAATGCTCTCACAGAGAAAAGTCTGACGGTGCAATCTGGGCTAACGCCGACTATGGGTCTTCCATCTGCGTCTAGTCTAACTGAAACTGCCAGGCAGCAGCAGCTCGTCACCTGCTCCGCGCAGCTTGGTCCGCACTTGGCGCCGGCGCGCACGTGGCACGTGCTCAATCACAGCCGAAAGGGGGGAGGAGGAGGAGGGGGGGGGAGCGTCCGTGGCCGGCCGCCGCGGTCAGGTACTGGAGGCGAGCGGACGCCGGCCGGCCGAGCGTCAGGACTCGCTCTGCGGCGACTCGGACTTCAGGCGGCGCTCCTTGGCACGCCTGTTCTGGAACCAGACCTGCGGGCAGGCGGGGGCGGGTCGGTGAACCAGACCTGCGGGCAGGTGGGGGCGGGTCGGTGAACGAGATCTGCCGGTCAGGCGGCACCAAACAGTGGACCAGACCTGCGGGGTAGGCGGACGGGGTAGTGAATCAGACCTGCGGGCAGGCGGGGGCGGGGCGGTGAACGAGATCTGCGGGCAGGCGGGGGCGGGCCGGTAAACCAGACCTGGCGGGCAGACAGGGGCGGGCCGGTGAGCCAAACTTGCTAGTCCGCCAGGCGGGGGGGGGGGGGGGGGGGCAGGCCTGGATCTGGAGCATGGGTATGAAGATTCGTCATCTCCACGCTGCTACTGAGGACCCTGTGGGATCCTAGATTCTTCTTTGGAATCCAGTCAGGCTATGGCCAGGAAGCGTAGGCTGACTGAAACCAGATGCGTGTAGAATCATGCTGGTTTATGACATGTAACTACAGATTCTCTGGGAGGTGGGGAGATGAGGTGATGAATAGCTCCGAGGTTCAGTCGTGGCCTCTTCTGAGAGCTATCTCTCGTACCAGACGGTTGTGCAACATTTGATATGTGCCCCTTTGCTATAATGGTAGGGAATAGTTTTCGATATCAAATGGCTGATCGCAGGAGGAGGTGCTTGATGGGCGCAGGCAGGAGCGGGAGATGATAGGTCCTTACTGGGTAATGCGTGTAAAGCAGTACTAAGAAGGCGCAGTTTGTGCGGACTGCACCGAAAGCTAAACAAGAACGATCAGAAAAAAAGAACGAGCAGACAGATTGCGATATCAGCCTGAGGACAAGACGAGTTTCAAGTTCCGTATGTTATCATGAGCGGCGGGGCGAACACACTGTATCGAAGAGAGATCATCAGAGGCTTGAACACACGAGCTGACGTTTTCGGTACAGCCAGATGTCTCCGGAGGTTGTCCAGGAGACACCGCTCATGGGTAACGATACAATACGGTCACACACGCCCCGCTCAACAGCAACAGTTTTAAATCGAGTGCTTGTTGGTCGATGGCATAAATCATTTAGATCGCGTGATTGATAAAACATACTCAAATTGGCCGCGATTTTTGCGTGATCATAGACAATGACACCCAGCCCGGTACGTCTTCTACACATGAGAAGACGGCCAAAAGGGAAAACGCGCTATCACGTTACACGTACCAACGGCTGTTGGTTTGTTACGATTTGACATCCCGGTGGAAGGAGAGCTAGCATCGTGCGCTTGTCTGTTACGGTGCGGGGTGCGACACGGGAGGACTGGAGAGGGCCGATGCATCTCTGGGAACGCCACTAGACGGTGCACCTTCACAGCGCCGGCCAAATAACTTTGGTCACCGATTCCGCGGAAAGCTTGACAAAAATTATCACGAGAGCGCTCCCAGATTATAGTGACGCTATTGATGGATTCGGCATGACAGTGACTGCGACATAAGCTTGTCTGGACAGCTGCTCCAACGTGCTAAACCTCACCCTGACATAACACGAAAAAGCATTCGGTAGATTTTTGCTGGCACGTCGACATGACTCCAGTGGTTTCGGATCAGCAGCGTCCGCCCCGCGCCGCACGCCGCCACCAGCGTGATGGGCATCGATGTCCTGCGCATCCGTCAGCCCGCGTGCCCCGGTACTATCGCCGACCAGGGGCGGTCCCACACGGCTGCAGGAAGGTCCAGTCTTTGGTGGCAGTGGTGCCGGCCGGACGCCAGAACTGCACGAGGCCGGCCGCGACAAATATTTACGCCGGCGGACGGGCCGACGGGCAGCCGGTCTCGGTGACGATCTGACCACGCTCCGGCTCCCGGACAAGTCATGGTGCCGCCCCCATTCACCCACGCGTGGCCTGGCGGGGCGAGACCCCATCTCCACCGCACCTGACAGCTCGGTCCTAGCGCGCCTGACGACGTCAGAGTTCCAGAGCATGAAGAACAGTTTGAAGACGGCCGCAGCCACAAGCGCGTGCCGTTGCGCCGCGGCACCACGCCCGCCCATGAAGCGCCAGTTACCTGCACGTGCTGTTTGCCGAGTCCGAGACGGCTGGCCAGGTCGAAGATGGCCTTGGAGTCGGGGTTCGGGTTGCCGGTGAAGGAGGTCTGCAGCTCGCGCAGCTGCTGGGCCGAGAACTGGATGCGGTGCCGTTTCCGGCGCGCTTCGGACAGTTCGGCCGGCACCCGCGGACCTGAGAACGACGCCAGGGGGTCGGTGAGACGGCCTGACCGGAGGCCACACGGGGCAGGTGAGAGGACCGTGCCGGGTGGATTGCTCCGACACGTCGCGCTAGCTGCACCGAAACCGACGCTCAGCGAGGACAGGACAGTCGGCAGCTCGCTGTGCAGTCTAGAAACGATGGCGATGATGGTGAAATGGCACATGAGTCGTGAGTTCTGAGTGCCTCGAGCGACGTACTGGCGTACTGGCGTACTGGCTCTCACACTCCGGAACTGCAAGCGGGATGGTTCCTCCAAATTGGCCGCGACGCCTGGGAGGGGGGGGGGGGGGGGCTTTGCATCTCAGTAGATGTGACGAATCCTTACGAAGCTCCTCTCCTGTCCTGACGCTGTGAATTCCCTTCAGTTTTCCCTCGCGCGAGGTTGCCGCTCTCGAACATGATGAAGCGGCAATGGCTGCACGACTTGGACAGCAGAAAATTGTTCAACACAGAGGGTGTCCAGCTTCATCGCGTTGGTGTAACGTAAGTGCTGCGTCCGAACTGCTGTGGACAGCAGCCCTCTCACAATGGCGACGGACAGCATCGATGCCTGCGGACCTGGCTGACGTGGCGACGCACGCCGACACCGCCGACGGACGCTACCGATGCCTGCGGACCTCGCTGACGTGGCGACGCACGCCGCCACCGCCGAAGCTGGGCGCCGGAGTCGCGCCTGTCCTGCTCTGCGACGGCGTGGCCGGCACGGTGGCCACTTTTTCTGCGCAGAAGGGCAGCTGACGCGCCGCAGACGGCTGCCACTGGACTTACTCGCCGGCGGTGCCGCGCCGCGCCGGCCGTAAACGCCACGCCACTCGCGACGGACCGCGACGGCGGCGCAAGTCAAACACGACACACGCTGCAGCGCCGCGAATAAAACAGACACGGGCGCGCCGGCGTTTTTCTGCTACCGTTGAAAATAAACACGCTTGAGTGACGCGCCCGGGGCGAGAGGTTGCCAAGTCCGGCGGTCGTCCGTCCGGCGGCGGGCAGCCCGGTGGCCGACGGTGGGGGCGCGCCAGGCCCGGCCAGACGCAGCTGTCGTGCGGTGGCGTCAGTGTCTGTTTGCGCTGTGTGATGCGGTTGGGGACTGGCGAATGGTTCGAAAGAACTTCAGCAGTTAGTCTCTTCGCGTGCGGAAACAGGCTGTTGAGAAGACTACACAAAAACGCGTGGTCATGGATTCTTCAATGAGTGATGCGGTCACGGCTGAGGGCAGTGCCGTCTGTCACTTGACCTGCCAAAATTTATTTCGCGGGAAGAGTCACCATAACATAACGCTAGCAAAACCTTGAAATACCCAGTGCGCCATACGCTGGTGGGTTGGGGACGGGGCACACAGAGGCGGCTTGTTATGACAGCCAGGACTGATTGATCTTCAACAGACACGCACACCAACCCATGCAGACGGAGGAGCGGGATGGGGGTCGCTGCTTGGTGCGTCAGCCGCCATTTGCCTTTCTAATTCTGTTTAATGACCTGCCATCTGTAGCTCGATGTGTGCACGGCTCTGCACATACAAAGGTGGGTGGCCGCCTCCCCGGCAAACTTTGTTTAGCGGTTGCCAGCAGAGGTCGTTTTGGGGTGACCTGCTGGGAACTGTTTTCGACAGAAACGTAAAATTGAAAAATGGCACTGCGGTCTTGCAAAAAGATTTGATCCGGATCTATTGAATGGATGGATTTCTAGGATCAGAGCTCACGCTGAGCAGCGCTTGTTGTGTGAGCCCGACTCCTACCATCCTACCGCAAGGCTTCCTCTAAAACTAGCTATTCCTTCGAGGAATGTCATTCGACATTTTGATTCGCATTTGCTATTGATTGCCACGTGTATACAAATATGTATATCTGGACCCGAATAGCTTTATACCTGTAGCGTTAAGTGTTCCGGGTACGCCTCGTCTTCAGTTTGTGATGCGCGAGGTGCCAGGCCGAGCTGGTCTTATTGTCAACTGAACGGAATTATGAGCCTTCCGCGACAGTGATACAACCGAATGGTAGCATTGGTGACATTCTATAGCCCTGTGTAAACGTGAAACGGAGACGATATCAGTTTTTAGCTCTTCGTGTTCAGGTTTAACTCTGCAATCACCTTTGCATTCCGTATCCTACCACTGAGCGCTGTGGTGCCCTGTTACTCTTAATTTGGTCAGTTACCACAGCAGCTCTTGATCATCTGGCGTCATAATAGTTGGCATCTGTTCGTGGTCTGCTAATTTCTTTGGTTGTATGTAAGGCCAGCCGAAATATTCGCCATTCTAGGTGAAATCATTAAATTCCAATACTAAAAGCTTAAAACTATTACCGAAGCCTTTAGAAGGAAAGTTGCACACGATGGCAGATCCATCGCTTAGTGGGTTCAATGAAATCTAATAAAAATGATAGGTGTTTTGCAGCGAAAAAACACAAACGGCCCACAGAATTAATTTAATAAAACAGCATATTTGGCACACGCTTACAACCAAAAATAAAACAGTCACATAACAGGCGCTCGGGAACGAGGGGAGCTTAACATTTTATATTCTTGAACAGCATCGTTCCTCTGTTAATTCCCGTCCGCAGTGGTGCGCGAGAAATGCAGTGTGAGAAGGTCTCACTGTTAGTTGGCTATTGAGTTTGAAGAGCGTACCAACTGGGAAGGTCTGGATGACCGACCGATCAGCAAAGCTATGCATAGGTGGATCATGAACTTTTACGTCTGTGGACATCATATTTCGGCCCGTGTCTGCGCCTGACAAGAGATGCGTGCTCGGATTCCCGGCACCACCAGATGCCGCCCAAGACGGGATCGTTCGCTATGGACGCTGGTAGACGCGGACCGCCGACCGAGGCTCTAACGCAGCGAGCAATGCGCGCCTGGCGGGGCTATGCCTCGATTAAGTAAACGCAAACTTTGTTGATACACAGGACGTTGCTTGGGTCCGGAAAGGGCTCTGGACCGCCTCAACGTGTTTAGTCTGTGCATGCAATTGTAATCTGGGAGCAGGAACAGTGCCACACTGCGCTATGGGTGTATGCTAGCCGCCCCTGGTCCCGCGGTGTGGTGGAAGGGTGCCTGGCGTGAGAGACAGCGGTACGTGGTACGCGCTCCGGGTGGACCCCCCGGCTGTCAGAGCTTTACTAACAACTGGCCCATCGAGGTCAACCTGGCCAAGGCGATTGTGTCGAAGTGCTATGCGCCACGTAAAACCTTCCACAGGCTTGATTGGGAGGACGATCGCCGGGAAGATTGTTCGATGAGTTGGGTCGATCGAGTGCGTCACTACGGGGGGGGGGGGGAGCAGGCAAGCGGTCAGCTGCTCCCTTGCCTTTTGTCAGGGAAACATATATTTCAGCACTCCCCCTTCCTCCCCTCTGCTCAAAACCCATCCTAACACCTCTTTCCCCCTCTACCCCTGGTCCTGGCGCCGCCACTGACCTGTCTTCCTGACGCCTCGCCGGCGGCCCCTGCCGGGTCGGGCCAGCGGCAGCAGGTCGGCCGGCTCTCCGTGACCTGGCACCAGGGGCGGCGCCAGGCCGTGCGCGTGGGCTGGACAGAACACGTCGTCGGCGCCGGCGGCGAACAGCTCGTGGCGCGTCAGTCGGCGCCGACAGAGCGCGCAGCTGAAGCAGTCGGGGTGGTAGCGGCGCGGCGGCAGCGTGGGGGCAGCGATTGCAAGCTCCCAGGGCGAGCTGAACTGGAGCCCGCAGCGCCGGCACGTGTTGTACATCCTGCAACACACCGCACCGATCGGGTGGTGACGGCTGGCGCTGAGGCGGCGTTGCTGCAACAACCGACACAACAACACGCGGCATGGACCGGGTGGTGACGGCTGGTGCTAAGGCGGAACTGCTGCGATAACCGGCACAACAAAACACCGCCGGCTTTAATGGCTGCAATAGCATCGTGTAACGGTAGCAACAGTCACACCACACATGTTGTAACAGCTATAATAGTTCACCGTCACATATAACGACCGCAGATATTCAACAGCACGTATTGAAAAAGCTACAAAAGCTTGAAAAAGCTACAATAGTTAAACGGCGCGACACGAAAGGATGCAACAGCCGGGAATGGTGTCCTACTGACTGCGACAGTCGCACAGCGTGGTTTGAAATAACTGTTTTCTGTTGAATTTGTTGTTCTTGTGATTGCATCAGCTGGTGGCTGTTATCGTTAATGCCCTCCACATGGGACAGCGACACCTCGGTATCTTTAACGCTCTGTCACCACGTAACACTTAGGCACCGTTTTCTCATACACCAGACATCGTCCTGGTGATAATCGCCGCGCGGACTTGGTCTGTGGAAGCACGGACTGCACCTCTCGGTGTGTATCTCCGGAATGCATTTCCGGAGTGTATCTCTCCCAGTGCATCTTCGGAGTGCATCTCTCGGGGTGTATCTCCGGAGTGTATTTTCGGAGTGTATCTTTCCTAGTGCATCTTCGGAGTGTATCTCTCGGAGTGTATTCCCGGGGTGTGTTTCAGTAGTGTATTTTCGGAGTACATTTCCTGCGTGTATCTCTCGGAGCGTGTCTCTCTGAGTGCATCTCTCGAGGTGTATCTCTCAAAGCGTATCTCAAAGAGTATTCTACCACTGTATCTCTCGCAGTGCATCACCGGCACTCCTCCGTACCGGACAACGGCGTGATTTATTTAAATGCTGTTTATGCGTACAATTAGTGGTGAGCATACTTCTTTCGCCATTCGGAATGGTTCATGAACACCGTCGAACTCACTGCGCCGTCTGTCCAACATTGTTATATTGAGGGCCAGAGAATCGGCTAAAACGCCACTTCATGTCATATTTTCAAAATGTTCGTGCAACCTTCCGTCGTGCACCCAGGGGATTTCCAGGATGAGCCATTAATTTGTGACTGTCGCGTCCCGGTCGTTTATCATGCTGACGCGTGCAAGAACAGCAGATAATCAATAAGCTCATGTCTTCACAACTGCAGCTTACGTTCCAAACACAGCATGCCTTGTCAAGACATGTGTGCAGGAAAAAAAACAGCGTTATTGTTCAAAGTCGTTTGAAAACCAACCGTGCTTTCCCACAGCAATGCCGACCTTGAGCAGGAGCCCAGCGGTATTGATGCACTGTTCTGAGATAGGGCATAGGACATGAAAAATGAAAATCAAGGAAGCAGACGACGTTTTCGAAGGAAGATTACCGCCATGTCCCACTTCAACTGTTCGTCGGTGAAGGCATGTTTCGGGTAGTAATTCATGGAGTAGAGAGATAATGTAAATATAAATTGGTGAGGCAAGGCTGCCTGAACGAGCTTTGCAATGCAATGTGTTGAAATGAGCGCTGAAAGTTGATTTCAGTGACTCTACATTTGGCGAGAGGTTAATAATGCCCATGTCGGCAAGTGCAGATTCCAAATACGAAGGTCATGGACAGCGAGGCGGTTAGTAACTCCTCAGAAGAACGGCGGTAAAAAAATGCCGGTGACATTTGACACATCATTTGGTAAGTACCTGCTCGTGCAGCAGCTGCCATCCAAAAATTGTGGAGGCTGCGACCCACCGATCATAATAAAAAGCAGCCTCACACGAGAGCTTTGTTACTGCACTACTAGCACTCGTCGCAACTTGCAAGTTACATATGACTCGTCCACCATGTTGCATACCAAGAGACTGAGCACTGCCAATGCAAGCAAGCTGCGCGCAACTACCATATTGTCAATCCATAGCTTCAGGAATATGGTCCGGTCTTTGGGGGTCAGATAAGAAATTACGGGTATCTGCCACGTTGAATTCCTGCCTAGCAAACAAGTGACACTCCTCGTGACAGGGGAGCAGAGATATCCTCAAAAACGAATCATCAAAACCCTGCTTGAAGTCAGTTCCTTCCATGCGTCACCATTGCACCAATGCAAAAAAAAGCATTTACGAAAAGCGGATGGGTCATGACCCAGCTGCTTTTCCTACGCCGAAGCCTTGGGGACTAGCAACGAGGGCTCTCATCATCTGTGTCAGTGCCGCTGTGGCTCGCACACCACATAACAGCATAACGGTTAGCCACATCCTCCTCCCCCTCCCCACTTCCCCTGCCCCACTCGCTGCGTTCTACAAGAGGCACAGCTGCTCTTCCCGCCTTCGTATTGTCTCCCCGTGTCCGCCGGAGCGTGCTGCAGCGTCTCGGAACGTCCCGCGAGCCTGTCGCGGTGTCACGGGATGTCCCGCGACCCCGCCGCGGTGTCACGGGACGGTCCCGCGGCCCGCCACAATGCCACGGGACGTCTCGCGAGCCGCTGCACTGTCAGGGGACGCCCCGCGGCCCGCCGCAGCGGCAGCTGAGGCGGCGGACTCCGCCCGCGGCGGTCGCGCGCGCCGCCGCCGGCTACGACTGCCCGTCTCGCGACCAGCGCGCTTTTCTGGCGTGACGGCGGCCGGGCCGGGTGATCCCGCGGGGCGCGCCGCGCCTGGCGCCCACTCAATGGGCGCAGCGGCGGTCGGCGCGCCGCCCCCCGACCACCCTACAATGGCCGACCCCCTGGCGGGCGGCGCGGAAAACAGCAGGTGCCGGCGCCGCGCGTCAAAGTCAATACGGGGCCGCGATCAAAGAGCCATTGAGCGCGCTCTCCGCCGGCTCATCCCCCTTCAATGAGAATTGAGACACATTTTTTAACGCTGTCATGGGCATGTGTGCTGCGAAGGGTGTTGTCACGCTGAATGAGCTTTGGTGCGCGCCCGGTTTCTGTAACACTGTTTGCCCCATTGTCAGTCGGCTGCCTCTCATTCACTTTTTTGCGTTACGGTCGCCTTGTTTAGGGCTATCTAGAGGGATTGCCCGGCAGGGGGTGGCAAGCCCGGACTTTTTGTGTTATGACTGGTTGAACAGCGGTGAAAACGTTATAAAGCGTTACATTCCGTTTAGATTATCCGATAAACACGGTGGGGGAGCGTGTGAACTTTAACACAACCCACACCGTCTGCGGCGAGTGGGTGACGATAGCTGCGGCTCAGCGGACCCCGCTCGGCGTTCGAGCCGGTCATATCCACCTCAGCGCCGTCTGTCGTCCCGTCATCCCCCATCCGGTCCGGAGCGCCGCTGACAGTGTCCTCCGACCGCCTGCCGGTCGTGCCGGCCGCCGACAGTTATGCAAATGCGCCGGGCCCGCCGCGTGCTAGCGTGCTCTAATACGATTAGCGGGTATCGGCGACCGATCTGACGGGAGAGCCGGACGCTTCCGGCGAAGGTCGAGTCGACACCGGCATCTGGCAGACGACATCTGATGGTGCTGAGACGAGAGGCATCTCGCAGACGCTGTCCGGCTGATTGCTGGCGAGCGGGAGCTGACAGACGCCTGACCCAGGTCTATCTGACGGATGGTGTCTGACGGCACGGAAACATCTCGGAAAATCTGACAGGGCGTTTCTTGCCGTTGGCACCTGGCGGATGTCATCTGAGCCTCATCACCGCACTGGTGACATCCGCCAGACGGCCTCTAACGGGCGTCACCTCACCAAAACTCGGTGCTCGGCGTGTGATGCATATTTGACAAACCTGGTGCATCCACAACCTGATCCCAGGCGCCAAAGTCCCCCCCCCCCCCGCCCCGGTGCTCCAGCTGACGTCGCCCAGGTGCTCCAGCTGACGTCGCTGGTCGGCAGCTCGTCCCAGCTCGCTCGTCTCTAGTGGCCTCAGCTCCTGTTTCTGGCTACCCCAGCTCCCGCCCCAGGCGCCTCAGCTCCTGTCATCAGCCACCCCACTTCACCCTGGCCGCCCCAGCTCCCGCTCCTGACAGTCCCAGCTCCTTTCCCCGACCGCCCCAGCTCCCGTCCCTGGTCGCCTCAGCACCTTTCCCTGGCCGCCCGGCTCCCGCCCCCGAACCCTCAGCTCCCGTCTCTCGTCGGCCAAGCGCCCGTTCCTGGTCTCCCCAGCGCTCGTTCCTGGACGCTCCAGCTTCCGTCCTGGCCAGCTCCATCTCCCGACCCTGGCTGGCCGCCCCAGCTCCCGTCCCAAGCTGGCCCCGTAACCGTTTCTAGCCGCCGCAGCTCCCGCTCCTGGCCGCTCCAGCCTCCATCTCTGGTCGCCCCAGCGCCCTCCCTGGCCGGCCCAGCCTCCGTCCTTTACAGCTCCATCTCCCGACCCTGCCCACCCCACCTAACGTCCCTGGTCGCCCCAGCGCCCGACCCTGATCACCCCAGCTGGCGTCACTGGTCACCCAAGTGTTGGCCCTGGTCGCACCAGCTCCCATCCCTGGCGGCCCCAGCTCCATTCTCCAGCCGCCTCAGCTCCCGTCCTGGCCACTCCAGCTCCCGTCCCTGGCCGCCCCAGCTCCCGTCTCTGGCCGCCCTAGCTCCATTCCCTGGCCACTCCAGCTCCCGTCCCTGGCTGCTCCAGCTCCCGTCTCTGGCCGCCCCAGCTCCATTCCCTGGCCACTCCAGCTCCCGTCCCTGGCTGCTCCAGCTTCATTCCCTGGCCGCCCCGGCTCCCGTCCCGGGCCGCTCCAGCTCCCGTCCC